GGCAGGATGGCCATTTTGACGATATTAATTCTTCCTAGCCATGAGCATGGGATGAGTTTCCATTTATTAGTGTCCCCTTTAATTTCTCTTAAGAGTGACTTGTAGTTTTCAGAGTATAAGTCTTTCACTTCCTTGGTTAGGTTTATTCCTAGGTATTTTATTCTTTTTGATGCAATGGTGAATGGAATTGTTTTCCTGATTTCTCTTTCTATTGATTCGTTGTTAGTGTATAGGAAAGCTACAGATTTCTGTGTGTTGATTTTGTATCCTGCAACTTTGCTGTATTCCGATATCAGTTCTAGTAGTTTTGGAGTGGAGTCTTTAGGGTTTTTTATGTACAGTATCATATCATCTGCAAATAGTGACAGTTTAACTTCTTCTTTACCAATCTGGATTCCTTGTATTTCTTTGTTTTGTCTGATTGCCGTGGCTAGGACCTCCAGTACTATGTTAAATAACAGTGGGGAGAGTGGGCATCCCTGTCTGGTTCCCGATCTCAGTGGAAATGCTTTCAGCTTCTCGCTGTTCAGTATAATGCTGGCTGTGGGTTTATCATATATGGCCTTTATTATGTTGAGGTACTTGCCCTCTATTCCCATTTTGCTGAGAGTTTTTATCATGAATGGATGTTGAATTTTGTCAAATGCTTTTTCAGCATCTATGGAGATGATCATGTGGTTTTTGTCTTTCTTTTTGTTGATGTGGTGGATGATGTTGATGGATTTTCGAATGTTGTACCATCCTTGCATCCCTGGGATGAATCCCACTTGGTCATGGTGTATGATCCTTTTGATATACTTTTGAATTCTGTTAAAGTATTCACTTTTTATCATTGTGATGTTAGCTATAGAATTTTCTTTACATGCTGGTTATGAAGTTTTGAAAATTTCCTTCTATTCTTACTTTGTTGAAAGTTTCTCATAAGTGGGTAGTGGATGTTGTCAAATACATTTCTTCAGTAATTGGAATGATCAATATCTTTTAAATATTTTAATGTAATTATGGTGAATGACTATTTGCTTTGGATATGAAAATGGATTTGCATCATTGTTCGGTTAAAAGAAGCAAGTGTAAAATGATGGGGTATATAAGTCTCCCATTTGTTTAAAAATGAGAAGTATGGCTTCATACATATACATATATGTATAATGTGTTTTATGCATATGTGAAGACATTATGCTTTTACACACAGAGAACATTTCAAAACACTTGAAAAACTGAACAGCAGCTTCTTGTCCATAATGAAACGGCTTGAGTGTCTAGGTGAGAAGAAAAGCTTTATTTTATGCCCACTCTCTTGTGCTGTATGAAATATTGACTATATATAACTTTGAAAATAATACATACCTCTATTTCTTATAGTTATTTATTACATTTAGACTTCAGTATTTTATTCGTTTTTTCTTGGCTTGGAATATATTTTGCAGTGAAGTATAAAGTGAGCTTTGAAATAATTTTTTTCCCAATTATTTGAGTTTCCAAACTCTGGGTAATTTCTCCCATTTCATTACATTTGCTAGGCACTGTTGTTTGATTCAGAATGGTCATTTTTATTCTGCTAAAATGAATGTTGGCTTCGATGCCAGCATTTCAATTAACATAGCTTTGTAAATTTTAATGTTTCTTGGGCTAATGGACCCTATTGGTTTATAAAGATTTTCACGTCCCTCTTTTTTCTTTCTGTATTTATTATTCTGATGAAATCTAAAATTCGTTTACTACATTATGGTGCTTACCTTGATCACTCAAATTAAAGTGTTTTCTTTTTCATTATGATTTCTTCTCCTTCATAAACTTATCATATATATATATATATACATACATATATATATGTATGTATGTATTTACATGGATGTTTTGTTCACACTATAAACACTATATCTTGCAGAGCACTTTATGTACAGGTGCTCAATTAATGTTTAATGACTTAATCAAGGAATGAATGCTTAAGTAAATGGTTGAATAAATACATTATATGTCCAACTCAATTTTATTTCCCATGCTTTTCTCCACCCTTGATATTTCATGTCACAGATTTTATTTTAAGCTGTGATTAGAGCCCTGAATTATTAAATCATTAAGATAATATCAATGTCATCAATACAAAAAATGTGTTTTTCAATTTCAGTGGTTTACGTTCAATTTTGGAACTGCATTTACCATATTTGTTTTATTTTAATTCAAGTAGTAAGTCTTTTTATACAATACATTTCTCATTGTTCTAGTCTTGATTTGAACCATCTTTTTGTAAGCTTGTAGATAGAGTTGCTTCCCCAGAGAGGATTTACTAATCATTCTTTTATTTGAGAAGTTTTTTATATATTGAAACATATGCTCTATATCCCTCATACACAAATAACTAAAGCTAGTCTATAAAGAGAATTCTTCATTCAAATCTCATGTCCTTCATAAAAATAAAGGCAAAACACCACATACACGGCATTCCACTCCATCACAGTACGTAATGTCTTAGCAAAGAATGTGAGGTCAGCTTGTCTTTTCCTTATTCACTGCTTTTCATCTTTAAAATTCAAAAATGTATAAGGGCACATCCGGGTGTCTTGATGACACTTTTGTTTTGTCATCTCAGAGCTTCCTTCAGCTTGAAAACTTTCCTTATACTGAGGTCATCTCCTGAGGAGAAGCGTGTACGGGGATAGAGGTTTGTAGTAAATTTAGTTAATATGTGAGCTGACATCAAATTGGTATGAGTGATGCAAACATTACAATATTGTTTTGCGATTGTACCACATTTCTCTCTGAGATTCCCAAATAAGAGCAAGCTTGTCATGTTTTTCTTTCTTTTAATAGAAGAATGAAAAAAAAAGGAATAGTTGNTGATTGAATTTATTTTTTTCATATGTGCTCTCTGTCGCAAATGCTATTATAATTTTCTATTTAATTTTGCATTTTCTGGCAGCCTATTTTAGCCTTGATTTTTCCCATTCTTTCATTCTCTCCTATTCTCTCCTTAATAACACCTGTTCCAGTTCTGTAGATGCTTCTCCTCCTGCATCTTTGTGAGCACATAGACTATAACATGTAAAATTTTCAACTAATTTTAAAAGCTATGTCATCAGTTTGCCTCATCAGGTCTGTGCCCCGTACCGTCCTGCAACGGTGTCTACCTACGTCACCTTGATTTATTTCCTTTCCTTGCATTGTGTTGAGATTGATTAAGGGTTGGTGTTTTCTTCAGATAGTGTGGGTGAACTTTTCTTATTCTGCCATCACGAACACTTTCCTCTTATAATGTCTTCTACATCTTTTTTCATTTTTCCCTCTGAGCTGCATCAAAAATCTTTCATTTTCGGTCCAACCCAAATTTGCTGAATGGAGATCGAAACTTCCACCTTGTACCATAGACTACTAACTTAGGTTGTCAGATACAGTGTGTGTACTTTCTTTTGTATGGTGAAAAGCATGAAAAATTACACAAAGTTCACCGTGTACTCTCTGAAGTGTTTCCATAGGAACCTAACTACCTGCTCCATCTTCTCTCTTCTGTTCTGAGAGGTGTGGTGCATGGATAGATACATACTGAGAGGGGTAGGAGTGGAGTGGAGTCAGGACTACAGCTTGCATAGGTCCGGAAGGAATTTCACATTGTATTCGGGGAAGACCTCCAGGTTTTGGTCCCAGCAACCTGAAATAGTGGAGTAAACCAGCCTTTCCCTGTTATTTGGGGAAACTGCATCACCTCCTGGCCCAGAGGATGCTCTGTGCAGTGTGTCGTCCGACACCGTGGTGCACGTTGGTTTGCGCTCCGTGATGAGCGCTCCTGGAAATGCTGCACAAAGCGCCGCACATTTTCTCCCCCTTCACTTCCTCCTGTTCTTTCCTCCCCTGCTCTTCCTCATTTTGTCTGTATTCTTCTTCACCTCTTTTTCACAAACATAAGAACACAAATACGCTCCCTCTCTCTCTCTCAGCAATTCATGCTGATTTGTGCTGCTTTCTCTTTCCTTTTTACTGTTTTAATTGAAAGTTAAGAAGCCTATCAGGAATGTCTGTCATATTTTATCCAAGTAGCTCCCTAATTATAATGTGCCTCTTTTCTTCTGGATCAAATTTTATAGATTCCCTAGAGTTCTTTAATTCATTCCAGTCTTGGTTAGAAGGGATATATTTAATCGAAATTATATTTACATGATAAGCGTGGTCCATGCACTAAAGTACTCACTAAAGACTTCCCTTTAAGTCAGTCTTGAAGATGGAAAAATTGAAAAAATATAAACAGAGGAATAAGGTAAGTAGATGTGCATTCAAGAAAGATTTTTCTGACTGTGTAGGATTGATATAAAGAGGGTCACAGATGGAAGATGATAAATTAGGAGACTACTGAAATAGATTGAATACACAAAGACTTAAATGGGTCAGAATTTCTAGGGTACAAAGGGCATTGATTGACTCAAGAGATTATTAAAAATAGATTGGCAGGGCCAATAAAACAGTTGGATAGTGATGAGGGAGGGGTAGGAATGAAGAGAATTCTCCTGTTTCTCTATTTTAATTTGCATTAATTAACATAAGATATATGTTACCTCTTTTTAAAAAATATTTTCATTTTTCTTGAAATTTTTTACTGGGAATTTCACTGCTCCTTGAAAATCTACATTTTAGCCTCTGTTATTATACTTTTATGTTTGTTTATATTCCAGTGACTCTTTGGTTTTAAAGTGTTTTATATCTATATTAGATTGAAATATTGTATACATCTATGTCTTTAACATACATCTATATAAAACTTCTGGAAAGTGTCCTTTATTGCAAATTGAATATTTTTATATATCCTGCTTTTTTACTTTGTCAAATAAATACTGTTAACTTATATAACTAATATGTTTCATCACCCAGTGGAAGTGCACCTTTTATATGTTCTTTTTTATGAATCTAAAGCATTTTTGGACACTGGGGTATGGCTCTATATATACTTTCTGGAAGGAAAAGAGTAGTTAAGAGTTCTAGCAATTTAAGTTGTCGTTGCTTATTCAGAGACCTCTGTTTTGAAGTCAAATATTCCTACTTTTAAATTAAGTACTTTTATTTAAAATTTTTTTCTCCTTATAAATATGACGAAAGCATAATTGTTTTGAGTCAAGAGTTTAAGTTAATTGAATGATAATACTTCTCTCAAGAGATTTATGCAATAAACCTACATAATTCATGCATCCATATATGTTAAAAGTCCTAACTCAAGGGAATTTCAGGAGCATTTTTACTTCCATCAGATGTGTGTATATTTTTACATATTACACAGTTATAGAGATAGACAATGGATAGTTGGTAGGTAGAGAAATAATCATAGAAACTTTTAGTAAAACAATACTGCCTAGGCCTAGCACAATGTTGTGGAGATAGTTGGTGTTCAGTAGCTTTGGTAAAATAACTAAATGCTCAGGTGAAGCTGTATAAGATGATTCATGTTTAGAGATTCAGTGATTTCAAAGGAGAAAGTCACCACCTCGACTTTTTTTTTTTTCTTGGTGTTTTGCACCATCAGTGTCTAAGGATCCAGCAATCCAACTAGCGCCTGCTCACAGCTTCGGGCAGGGCTACCGCTGAACCATATAAAACTGGAGGCTTCACTTACAAGTATATTGACTTATGTAAAAAGATCAGGAATTGAAATTGCTTTGATTCTCCTTTCCACTCATTTTTTTCTATATGAATTAAAAATGAGGTTAAAGTAGTGTCTTTCATTGTCACCATAAATAGCTCAGCTTATTTTTTTTTGATGTCAGTAATTCTGCCCAAGGCATTGTACTGCAGTTTCTACATGATGCTTGACAACTTGTCAGAATCAGCTCAGTCACTAACAACTCACTAGAGGAAGGACATATGTAAACTAGTTTGCATAGTACCATGAAAGACCTTTTTATAAAAAGGCTATTTGAAAATATATTTGCCTGTTGTGAAGGATTCTTTACCTTTGTGAGTGAGTGTGTGTGCGTGTGTGGTGTGTGTGTGTCTGTGTGTGTGTGTGTGTGTGTGTGTGTTCCCTTTGTGTATTTTTCGGTCTCTTGGTCCAGGTTTCTCTTCCCCCCGGTGATTCCGGGTCCTCTCCGCAGCACCCCAGCACTACCCAGATTCTTCCATGGATGTTCTGATCACTTGCAATGCCATTAAGGGGCCTTTTCCTGAGAACACTTTGTGAAGTGATTGACATGTTACTGTTAAACATCAGCTTCAGTAACTCTGTTGACCAATTAAGAAATGTTCATTTTCCAAGACTGTCAGCGGAAATACCAAAAAATAAAATCATAGGATTTATGTGGAATAAATTTAGAATATCAAAGTTTAAGCTAGATTTTCATAAATTCATACAAATTTTACATTTCTAGAAAAAAGATGTGATTCTTTGCTCCTGCAGACACTCCTTGATATTTGGGGAGGCGTCTACTCTCAAAGTTAAACATTGAGATTTAAGGATGCATGAGTTCAGCTAAAGGAGAGGGTCATATTATCAAATGACTATTAAATATGATAAGTAGACAACAAAGAAGTATACTGACAATATGGGAATATGAAAAGAGGCAGGGATAGGTATTCTATACATGAAAATGTCAGGAAAGCTTTTAAAGAGAAAATAATTTTTGAGTGAAGATTTCAAAAGTGAATGTGGGAGAGCCTTAATCTGAAGCTAAGACCCTAGGGATGTCAATATTTATACTGTAATTTTTTAAAGTAAATTTAGAAAAAATAAAGAAAACTCATGGCAAAATTATATATATTTGAATTGGAATATTTCCAAGTCTAGACAAACACAATACATCAACCACAAATCTTTATGCCCATCGCTTAAAATAAATAATTGATTATTCTTCCAAACCTTGACTCCTTTGACAGTTTTGCTAACATAAATAGCACGTTATTGGTATTGTTTGTGTCTGACTAACAGATGCAAATAGTATTGGTACATCATAACCCTTTGTAGTTTTCTTAAAAATGAGATTAGTGATGGGTGAAATTACTGAATCACTGACATTGAGCACAAACCGGTTTTTCCACTCCTAATGAGGTAGTTATCATGTACTATATTCTGCCAGTCTTTTATTACATTTTTTCCTATTGGATATACTTCTAAGAGTCACCGTTTCTTTCCTTATTATGCTAGGATGAACTTGTGTTTTTATTGGTTGAAATGTATAATGTCTTTCCTATAACGATAATAACAATGGCAGGCTGGGTAGGCAGAAGCGAACTGTTCCCTATACTGAGGTCATCTCCTGAGGAGAAGCATGTATGGGGATAGAGGTTTGTAGTAAATTTAGTTAATATGTGAGCTGACATCAAATTGGTATGAGTGATGCAAACATTACAATATTGTTTTGCCATTGTACCATATTTCTCTCTGAGATTCCCAAATAAGAGCATGCTTTGTCATGTTTTTCTTTCTTTTACTAGAAGAATGAAAAAAAAAAAAAGGAGTAGTTGAAGTGTGATATAGTGACTTTCCCAAGATTACAATACCTAGTAGATGAGGAAGTTAGTACTAATCCTGTTTCTGCCTCCTGGTTAATCCACCTGTGAACAAAACTGCATTTTTGTCTCTCAAAGCCTGATCTACACTTGAATTTCATTTTCAGAAACCAATTATGAAATTCATTAATTATTTTGTATGAATTTATGTATGGTAGTCTGGCCAGAATTCTTGGTTACACTTTGTGTCATTTGATTTCTCCCTGAGCATTATGACATCCATCCTTTTAGCTAACCCTTCACTCTACAGACACCAGCAACTGGCAAGAAAATCTAAACTAAACTAGTTACAAAATATGAGACATAGTAAGTGATGGAAATAAAATCTTGGAATATTTTAAGACCAACTATATAAATTATAGTAACCAGGGGGCAGTAAAATTGATACATTGACACTAACATAACAAACTAGTGTAGCAGTTACAGTTCTATTTAGTAATAGAACATAAGCGCTGGAGTAGAAGTGTACAACTCTAAACTAAACTTATGTACCCTTGCCTGTTTATATTGTGTCATCTTCTACAAGACAATATATGTAGAGATGACAGGCATAGATTGTTTTCACTCAAGTAGATACACATTAAGTATAAAGTGCTCCAACAAATGATAGTTTCTAAAGTTTGTGTCAAAAATACACTTATTTAGTATTTTTCTACTCCCAGTACTTTGCATTTGTCTTCAACATACACATTCACATCACTAACACTATTCCTTCAGCCTGATAATAAGCAGCAAGTATCAGCAAGTGAAATTTCGATGGATTCCCAGCAGATTTTTAAAACCATGAACTTTGTGTTAAAACTAGTGAGTGATGGGAACAATGACCAATTGAAAAGTATTTGCCACTTCTAAAAAAATTGACCCTTCGGTTGTTACACTGCCATGTGGAATTTGAACCCAGTGTTTAAACTGGTCAGGTCATAATACTGGTCAGCTCCTACTGTCCTTTGCTCTTTTATCATTATTTCCAATTTTTCTCAGTGTGTCATAAGAAAGTCATAGAATATTTCCATATATCCCTACAGATGGAAAGACTTGGCACAGTTTTAAAGACTTGTTATGATTTTTTTTCTATCTGCAGTCTTTAAGGATTCTTATTGTTCCCTCTAGGCTAATGTTACTGATATCCTTATATAAAACTTGATTATTCAAAGCTTCTTCTTTTATAAAATTATGATTCTTTGAAGTTAAAGAATATAGGTTATATTCTATACTCCCTCTTGAGAAAGTAAAGAACATGTTTTGTTCATTGTTCTATCTTCAGTTTCTAGGACATTCTCTGGCAAATAGGATGTTGGATGAATAGTTTATTAATAGAAATTTGCTATTTCAGTCATTCATTCATTAAGTAAACTTTTCCTTAATGTATACTGTGTGCCAGTCATGTCATTAAATGTCATTGGATACACGTGAATCATTAACACAGACTAGAAAGCCATTCTGCTTGGGAAAAAACTTATACTGGGCTTCAGTTAAATGAGAGATCATCTACATTTTTTTCAGCTTCATTAAGGTATAACTGACAAAATTATACTTAAAATGTACATCATCATGAATTGATAAATGTTTATATCGTGAAAAGATTCCTCCATCTTGTTAATTAGCACATCTAATGAAATATAATCTAAATTTTCAAGTGTAAATTTACATTTTGCCTTCAATTTTCTGTAGGACTTTTTGGAGGGCCTCAACTTTTTTTCTTGATTCTCCCTCCTGGAAAGGTGTAAAAAGATAAGATCTACCATCTACCTTTCAGTCAATGTCTGACTATCACTTACTTAATCAGAACTTTCACCCCATCTACCAAATACCCTTAGGAGAAAAAAGCCAGACACTACAAGTCCACTAGTAAAAAGAAATAAATATATAACAAGTCAGATCTCATAAATTAATTTGAAACTTACCCTTGGTTTAAATTATTCGAGTTTGAGAGCTTAAGACTAACCCTGTATTTTTAAAAAACCCTTTAGTGCTCCTATTTGGCTTATAATAATGATGCAGCTTTGCTCATCTGACTTTTCTCTAAGACATATTTTTAAAAATCAGACCTCAAAAATAGTATTTATTTAGAGTCATGTAGATCTCAAGAGAAAGGTGAACTCCCAACTTCAAACAAGTTCAAAGTCATGCTCTCTTGGGGAGTCATCTGTCTATATCCTTGTATTTTGATGTTAAGATTTTTAGCAGGATGCCAACTGCCTCATGATATCTATCAGTCAACCAATTATATACTTGTGTCGTATCACATTCTGTAGGAACAGCAGGGCTGGATGAACAGGAACTTTAAGCTTCCAGTTTAACCAGGGTCACCTGTACTAACTGAACCAAGATCAAGAATAAAGAGTGAAAGATGCATGCTAGCATAATTATAGTCTGTTTATATTAGTTATGCTTAATGGTTATATTCTTCAATAGAACTCTGGCAGTGTCATCAAACTAAATGGCCAACTTGAAGACTGGCATGTCTCTCTATAACATGAAAATTTGGGTGATAAACAACAAAATGTATTTCTTTTTTATCAAGGATGTGCATTTTCTTTTTGCAGTTCACTTTTCTCATACTGTTACTTACTAAGAAGAGCAGGCGGAATACTGGCTCCTAAAGCATGCCTTGTGACACCTGCCGACACTCATTCAGCTGTGAGACCCACTCAGGGCTTGTGACTTACAGAACCATTAGATACTAAGTTGTGCAGTCATGAGCCACTATGTTTGTAGTAATTTGTTACAGCAGCCAAACAAACTATGATACTGAGCAACCCTATTTTTTTCCCAGAAGACTCTATCACTGAAACTGCATTAACAAAAAAAAGTTAAACTTTGCAGACTTTTATTAAGGCACTGTCTATTCATTCACTCATTCATTTATTCATTTTAAGGAGGTGATCCATAGCAGCCAGGTCGACATTTCAAGAAGCAGCCAGGAAATGGAAAGAAATGAAGTATCTTTCGAAACACACAAAATTGATATTGTTGGAACAGAAATGGTGACTACTTAGAAAGACAATAGTTTCCAAACAGTTTCCAGAATTTTGTTGTAAGCAATTGCTTTTAATGTCCTTATGTATTTAATATCCACACAGATCAGTGTCTTCCCTCACTTTGGAGTTGACAGTCTCTGGCAAATAATGCAAGCACCCTAAAAATGAATGCATCTTAGGTGCCAATTCATACATGTTCTGTTCCAGCAGGAGTCCACACATTAAAATAAGTGATAGATGTTTAATTAGCATTTCTCAGGGTGCATTGAAGTCTTGGATGGAAATCACTGTGAAATGAAGAATGTGTGTGCAGTACTGAAATATCTGACTTCTTAAGAACAACTATTTATTTAAAACAGGTCTTTCATCTTGAAAAGCACACTGAGGAAATAAACCAAGCTTCTCAGATCCATCAGTATGTTCAAGAAACAGGTAACAATCTAGAATTATTTAATCCCAGTATATCTTTCTCCTGTGTTTGAAAGGAGAACTTCCAGAGCACAATCCTCTCACTAAGTAGGATAGTAACTATGACTCATGGTTCCAAAGAGGGCAGGGTAGGATTTCTATATATAATTAGGTTCTGACTGTGGTAATAGATGCAATAAGCTTCTAAAATAGTTCATTGCCCATCAACCCTGTGATGTATTCATCCTCAAAGTCTAGAAGAGAATAAACCAGTTACCTCTGAATTGCTTCTTGCCTCACAGACCTAGAATAACACTTGGTGTGTACCAGTTCCCTGATTATAGAAATATTATCTTGATTGCATTACTTTAAATAATAGATTTAAGCACTCTTAAGTCCAGTTCTTCAATATACAGATATGAGATTAGATTACAGGCAAGTCGGTGTAAGTTTGCATAAGATGGGTATAGGTTGTCTTGCCTATAAAAGGGGAACGAGAAGTTTGACTTCCCTAAAGAGCTAAAAGGGAAGATTTAAGCCAACTGTGACCCAAATATTACTTGACTATATCTGTATTTTGGTTTTGCTTAAGGAAGTAGGTATTTTCTGTTCTTCTGCTGTCTTTTTATTATTTTTCCTGAGCATAAATAACTAAAACATGCTTGTAGAAAATTTAGTAAATATATACATTAAAATAAACAACAGTTTCATCACTTATGACTTCCCATCCAGAGATAATCACTGCCATTTTCTTTCTATTTCTTGACATATACTAACTTGCATAATGAAATAGTGCCTTATGAATACATCTGTGCCTTGAATCTTTTTAATTAACTCATATTATGGGATGTTTCCCTTAGTATTATAATTTCTTGTCAAACATTGTGTTTCTTAGTTACATAATATCCCTGGTGTTGTCTGTCTGTAGTCATTGATATACCTGAGGATGAAGACGTTCCGAAGATTTCGGTTAAGGTTTTAAAAGAGCAATTTGAAAAGTTTGCTCAGGAAAAGACCCTTTATTCTGACAAAGAGACAGCCCCAGCCAAGCAGATTAATAAGGTAAGACAATTTCTCTACACAGAAACATATTAAATGCAAAACTGATGTAAATACATAGCATTTTCAAATTATTGAATGTTAGCAGAGGTTTTTTCCAACAGAAAAATATCCTGAACCAGTGCCTATTCTGTTCTCTAAGGAGAATATTATTCTATGTGAGGAAAGTGGTAGAGAAAATTTTAAACTTTTCTCACTAGATAAAATTAGGGAAGTAAAAAGTATGTCTGCCCTAAAGTTTAATAACCAACATTAGATAAAGTAACAAAGTCAATTTTAAATGTCAGATACTTACTCTGGTCTGTTTAAAATTCCAAGGAAAAGAAAACAACCCTCAAAAGTATCTTAAGACTTTTATTGTTTCCCTCTAGATTACTCTACGTAGCACATGAAGTACAGGAGGAAAAATAGCCAAGATTATGTGTAAATGTTAAAATACTAAGTCATTAATGTATTGAATAGGGAGTAGAACTCTAAATGTAGAAATGGCTTATAGGAGAGACAGAGGCAGACACTGAATATTGCTGCTAAGTAGGCCTCTAGATGGAGTATGTCATCTGCTGCCCCCAGTGGGGATGTCATAGCAGCTGGACCAGGGAAGGGCAGTGCCTTTTAAGTCTTTACCAATACACTCATCTTTATAACATCTGATTTTCTCTCTCTTAAAGATTGGAAGTGACTATGAAGAGACTCTTAAGCCATCATCCATTGTGGGTACCTCTTCGACTTCTTGTACTCCAATAAGCCAGAGGAAGAAAACATCGACCAGACGATCTAGTGACCACAGGGTCACTTCCTCAACACTGGTGCAAGATAATACTGTTCCTTCAGGAGGGACAGAAGAATTTCCTCCTCCCCCACCCGGCAGCCTTCAAACTCCAATAGATGTGATGGCATTTTCCCAGTCCCCTGAATTCCCCAGCCCTCCTAGAATGCCACCAGTCTCCAAAGAATTATGTTCTAAACAAAGAAATTTGTATGAGCTAAACCATTTATATAAACACATCCATCCGGAGTTAAGGAAGAACTTAGAAAAAGATTATATCAGTCAGGTTTCTGAGATTGTTTCTAATCAAGTGAATGCAAGCAGCTCAGTTTCTGCAGATGTTCAGCAAGCCCGGTATGTTTTTGAAAACACAAATGTCAGTTGTCCAAAAGGCCTGAACTCAGAAAGAGAACATTTGGAGTGGAATGAGATTCTGAAGGGGAAGGTGCAGTCCATGAGGTGGATTTTTGAAAATCAGCCTTTAGATTCCATCAACAATGGCTCTCAAGAGGAAGGTAACATCTCCAAGGGCATTGCTGATCAAGAAATCATTGCTGGTGATGATGTGAAATATACCACATGGATATTTGAAACACAACCCATAGATATGCTGGGGGATCATTCTTCTGGTACTGAAGAAAATGCTGAGAAAATTCCTGAGCTAGCCAGAGGAGATGTTCACACAGCCAGATGGATGTTTGAAACAAAGCCATTAGATTCAATGAATAAAATGCATCCACGTCAAGAAGAACCAGGGGTATCTTCCATAAAGGATATAATTGGTGGGGATGTCAAGACTGTGAGATACATGTTTGAAACTCTACATCTGGATCAACTTGGACAGTTTCATACAGTGGATGAGGTTAACTTACTGCAGCTCAGGTCTGAGCTCCAAGAAATTAAGGGAAATGTTAAGCAAAGCATAAAATGTTTTGAAACTCAACCATTCTGTGTTATTAGAGATGGTTTAGGTCAAACGCTAGAAATTAAAACTGTTCACAGAGAAGATGTTGAAAAGGGGGATGTGAGAATAGCACAAGGGCTTGAAACACAGCCCTTGGACACAATCAATAAGGATATCACAGAAATTAAAGTCATCCAAGAAATATCCATGGAAGAAAAGGTCAAAGGTGGGGTTAGCAGGGCAAAGTGGTTGTTTGAAACTTAGCCTTTGGAGAAAATCAAAGAGTCAGAAGAGGACATGATTGAGAAGGAAACAATTATGGGTACAGATGTCTCCAGAAAGTGTTGGATGTTTGAAACACAGCCATTAGACATTCTAAAGGGAGTTCCCGACGCAGATCCTATAAGATCTGTAGGGGGCGATGTACAAACTACCAAGCGTCTATTTGAAACACTTCCAATAGAAGCTTTACAAGATAGCCATGATGTAGGAAAACTTCAAAAATTCCCCACCTCTGAAGAAGAAAAGGGGTATGCTAGGCACCAAAAGTGAATTTTTGAAACCCAACCTCTGGAAGATAAAAAAGAGTACATATGAACAGTGAAACTTGAAGAGGTTGACTGAGGAGATGTCAGGAATTACACAAATACCTTTGAGTCAAACAATTTAATTCAATTTGATGCATCACATAAGAGAGGTGGAAGGAGTCACAAGAGGTGCTGTAGAATTAAATAAAGCACTCTTTGAAACAACACCATTACATGCTATTCAAGATCACCTTGGAAAGTGTCATCAGGTAAAGACAGTCCAGCAAGAAGAAATCCTAAGAGGTGATGTAAGAAGCTGCAGGTGGCTTTTTGAAACAAGGCCCATTGACCAGTTTGATGAAAGTATTCGTAACTTTCAAATAATCAGAGGAATATCTGCTCAGGACATACAGACTGGAAATGTGAAATCTGCTAAGTGGCTGTTTGAAACCCAACTTCTTGATTCAATTAAATATTTTAGTAATATGGAAGTAGAAAGTAAAATTGAACAAGCTACAGATATCATTAAAGGGTATGTCAAAACCTGTAGATGGCTTTTTGAAACCCAGCCAATGGAGTCTCTTTATGAAAAAGTCTCATTAATGACAGACAGTGAAGAAATTCCTAAGGGAGACGTCAAAGCCTGTACTTGGCTCTTCGAAACTCGGCCCCTCGATACCATAAAAGATGACTCTGAAGAAACAGTCAAATCACAAGCTGTAAAACAGGAGGAGATCCATGGTGCGGATGTTCGTTCAGCGTGTTTTCTTTTTGAGACAGAAAATCTGGACAGCACACAAGGAGAAGAAGGAAAGGAAATCAAGGCTGTTGAAGTAGATATCCAAGCTGGGGATGTCTCCAGCATGCGGCGTAAATTTGAAAATCAGTCCTTAGACTCTATCAGGTCCTCAGAGGAGGTGTTGAAAAAGATCACATCTCCTGAAACACTTTGTTGCCAAATTAAGATAGAAATTCGTCGTAGGGACTCTCCACCTATAATCACAATACTGGTAAGTGTAAATCATGTTGATAGTAGTTCCTTCAGAGAATCCATGGAAGCTCAAGAGGAAGTTAGGAAAGTAGGAAAAAGGGTGACTTACATCCACAAAGACAGAATAAGTTCCTCTGGGTGTATAGGGCCAGATACCGAATGTTTTGATGCAGTTGAAATCATCCACAAAGTTGAAGGGCCCCTCAGGTCAGAGCACACACAGAGATAGGAAGCAGCCAACCAAACTGTTCAAATGGCTTAAAATTTCATGAATGACCATGAAAATGAAATAAACAGATGGTCAGGGAATTTGAGGATGGCCCAGTTTTGGAAGCAAAGTCAAAGAGAAGAGTTTATGTAAATGGAGAAGCAAACCATAATATAACACAAGAAAGTCGTACATTTTGTAAGGAGGAATTTGGATTAACATCTTCAGAGAACTCTAGTTTTACAGGCTTTTCATGCAATCATCCTAGGGAACTGTAAGAAAAAATTCCTGTTAAGCAGCCTAGCATATGCTCTGAAACAAGGTCCCTAAGTGAGCATTTCTCAGGTGTGGATGCATTTGAGAGTCAAGTTGTGGGGTTGAAGATGACAGTTTCTTCACCACATAACTCAGAAGCTGGCAAATCTGGCTTTGACTTCAGGCATGCCCCACCAACCTATGAAGATGTCATCACTGGCCACATTTTAGATGTTTCTGATTCACCTAAAGAACTCAGGAGGAATTTTCAAGAGACGTGGCAGGAGAGTTAAAGAGTCCTTAAAAAACCTGGGATATGCAACCTCAGATTCTTCTGCAACAGAGATGAGAACTGCCTTCCAAGAAGAATCTGCATTTATAAGTGGTAAATGAGTTTGGAAAGAGTGAAGTAACATTAACCCATGCCATAGCAAAGATGACTTGCAGTTTCATATTAAATGAAAACTAACAGCTTCCCCTATTTGCTGACACCCTTTTCTTACAATGTTTGCTTTTACTACTTTCTCTTAAGCATGGAACATGGTTCACCTGCACTGTGTGAGAATAACAAATACTATTATGTAGATTATAGAGACCATTTATTTGTTAAGGTAAATAGGCTTTTGATAATATAATAATAGCTGTTATTGTGATAGTATTCATGATTATGTTTAACTGTACACTTATTAATAATTGTACACCTATAGCACATTCTTAGTACTTTTTTAAGACAATATTAGGTATGTCCCTTGACCTATTATTGAGGTCATTTTAACTGCCAGAATTAAGTAGAGTTTGCATTTGATTTCCATGCAGCCTGATAGTAGTACAAGGAGGAATTTACAGTCTTCCTAAGTGCTTTAAGGGTTTTTATTGATTGATATCTCTGACAAAAGAGTAGGTATGAAATTAGGCCTTTTGTCTACTTAATTATTGTTGTTGAGTTGGATAGAGTTAGCTTTGCCTCAGGCCACTGATTTTTTTTTTCCTTTCTTAAACCCCAGATGACAGCTCAATTGGCCTCATTCACAGATGAACATGGACAATACATTTTTAACATTTGATTAGGTTTGGAAGGAGGGAGATTTAAAACATATGAACTGAGTACATATTTTTAGCATCAGAGAATAGCTGGTTTCTTTACATTTCTGTGCTTTTTTACAAGTAACAAGGATTCACAATAAAAGGGTTTGACATAATTAACATGCATTACTGGTGTAGTCCATTTCTTTAGGGAAACTGAAAGAAGTAGCAGGCTTAAAATGACCACTGAGATGAGCAGTTATGCCTCTAGCCTATTTGCAACATATGTGTCTAGTTTATCAAGTTAATATGATTTCTAATATGCTTGCTTCTGGCATGATGAGGCAAAGCTGTCTAATTAATTTCAAATGCTCAGTTCTGTGAAGATAGCTAGAAAAGATATAGAAAATACACAAAAAATTGCTGTTAAATAGAGAAATGTGTCTCCTCCTAGAACCAAAAAAAAAAAAACAACACACACACAAAGGAGATTACTTAGTAGCCCAAATTGAGCATCAAGCACTGAAGTGCGTATATTTATTTGCAACAAAATCCCTGAGCACATATGATCTTTCATATAACTAGTATGAGAGCTTAGTTATTCTCACACAGTCCCTGTGAGGGTCAAAACAATACTGAGGTGAAAGTTCCGTGCCAGTTTTGAACCACATGCAAACACTGGCTAGTAATATGACTGCTATTATTCACAGGACTTGCATTCAAGGAGAGCGGTCGCATGGGGCTGTAGGTGCTTCAGCGCAAGAGGAGGAAGGAAAACTGTAAAAGGCAGACTCAAGAATCCAAAAAGCCCTAAAATCTAAAGCCATTTATATTAAGGACAAATGGCCCTGATTTTGATGTATTCAAAAGTCTCATTGCATTAAAGTTAAGAATTGGTGTCAGAGAGTGAATGCTAAGTCATCAAGGAAATATTTAAGCAAATGCAATATCCTTAGCTTAAGAAGATATGCATGTCTTTCAGAAAAATCTCTCCAGCATGCTTTAAAAAACTAAAACTTTGGAGCAAGATGGGTGTAAACCTTCATGTCCATGAGGGGTCCGGTTATCTAGAATGAATGATCTCAGGGCTCTCTGTGGTGAGTTTACTGTATTTTCTTTCTAACTTATTGAAGTTACTGAACATATTTTACTCATGTATGTTTCCTTAAATAAAAGTCAGCTTGTTCAATGCATAAATAATAGTACAGACACTAGAGAAATGTTGATTGGACCAGAGCCTGAGGATGGGCTGTGTCCAGAGAAGCACAATGAGGACACCAGTCTGAGAGCTTCCTACTTGCACTACATGGCCAATTAGTATGTTGTCATCTCTTTTGTTTTTACAATCTGCTTAAACTTAGCACCTCATAAGCTTTTGTAAATTTTCATTTTTAGAAACTGCTGCCCCCAGACAAGGAAATATGTATACTTTGTCAAAAGACAGTTTATCGAGAGGAGTGCCTCATAGCCGACATGCAGATTTTCCATGAGTCCTGCTTCAGATGCCACAACTGTGACAGTAAACTGAGGTAAAGCATCGTGTGCTGTGCGGTACAAATCTTTGGAGAACCTGCCTTAGTCTAATAACATGAAGATTTAGACTTTTCCAGATCTTGCTGTCAGCAGTTAACACAGCCACCAAAAGGTGTTCGTGTTCTGTTGCGTTTTACCCAGGATGGCTGTGACCTTCCTCCTTTTGAGATTGTGCTTTCCCAGTGAAATTGAGAAGGGTCTCTTCTGTCCAAACATGGAATCCACGTTGATAAGAAAAATCAAGGGTTACTGTACAAATCAAGATTTATTAATTATTACCTTCATCTAAAGTCTAGATTACACATTAGGAGTAAGTAAGCTTATTCTGTAAAAGTCGGATAGTAAACATTTTCAGCTTTGCAGGTCATACTGTTTCCATCACTATTGAACTTTCCTGTAGAGGCAAAAGCAGCCACAGACAGCTAAGCAAATGGGCGTGGCTGTAAACTGATGGTCCCTGCTCTAGTCCAGTGAAACTTCATACACAAAAATAGGTCATTGGCTGGAGTTTACCTATGTTTGGGCTACTGCATCTACATAAACAAATCAATAAATACATAGAATTTAGAATAAGGTCACTGTCAGATAAATACTCTGTTTATTCTCTGGTGCAACAGAAGCACTATGTCAACCCAGTGACAAGCTCACTCATTTCTCCAAAACTCTTGACGTAAATGTACTTAAATGAATGTAGCACTTGTAGCTATTGTCTGAGATGCTGAAATGTAATTATTTTGCTGAATCCAGTGGACATCTCTCAGACTGTATCTTGCCTGACTTTAATTGACAATGTCAACCACCCGTCATTGCAACGTTCTTTTCCCTGGGGTTCTATGGCGCCAGAGTATAATGGTCTTCCTCCCGCCTTCGGGGTTCCTTCTCAGAATCCTGTGTAGGTGGACTCTTTCTCTGTCCATCACCAAGGTGGTAGAGATGCTTACAATTCTGTGATGGGCACTTATTTTTCTCACTGTATATAATCTTTCTGGTTTATCACATCCACTCCCATAACTTTAGTCATCATTCATGTGTCAATAACTCTGAAATCTGTACCATGAGTCAGCTCCCTCCTTTGTGTATCAGATGCTTCTATCTCAATGACTAGTATATATCACCAATTAGATTTCTCATAAGTAGAACAAATTCAATATGCCCCATTATCTTCTGTCTACTGAAATTCCTTCCTTTTACTTTCTGATCTGTATGCTACTTTCTCAGTAAATGACATTCAGAGTAACTCAATGACAGACACATGAAGTCACCTTTGAGTCCTTCCTTTCCCTCATTCCCTACCCACCCCCAACAGTGACCAAGTCCTATAATTTCTGTCTCACAAACCGCTAGAGATGTATACTTTTCTCCTTTCCCACAGCCCAGATTCCTCTCCCCAATGTTGTTTGGGACATTCTTTTTCATTTCTGTCATCATTATTCAATTTAATTTCATTCCACTCCCATATTTTTTTCTTCTCAGCATGGGGATCTTGTTCTAAGGGGATTCCAGTGGGTCAGTTTTGGGAATTTGACATCTCTAGTCTCTTCAGTCTTCCTATCCCAGGGCCCTTGCATTTACTGATGATTGGTGAGGGCAAAGCCCTTCCCCATTTTAGCTCTTGTTCTCTGATTGTCATGTGATACTTTCCAGGAAATGCTGGCTGGCTATTCTGTGGTCTCATATTTTCAGGTCCATCAGGCACCTTCTTTTTTTCCCTCTGCTATCGGCCATACAGATGTGATGACTATCATACTAGTCTTGTGGCTTTGGGGGCTTTTCCTTACCTCCTGGTATTTTGGGATTAGTGGAGATGCCTTGTCACTTAGCTGTTACAGATTTTATCCATAAGTTTTAAGTTTTGCTGTCTTGTTGATATATCTGTTTTTATGTGGAGATTCAGAGGTGTTCAAAAACAATGCTGCTGTCTTCAACTAAATTTGCTATTAATTGTAACAGATTCTCTATCTGTGACCTCCCCAAAGAAGCCAGACAAAGAGCTGCATAGGCGAGCTTTCCATTTCATTTAAAATCCAGTTAGCCAGGAAGTTCAAATAGTTAATTTTTGTGTGTGTGATATTCAGAATTTATTAAAAATTGCAACTTTTTTCTTTTTCACTTTTTGGCAGTTTGGGATATTATGCATCACTTCATGGACAAATATATTGTAAATCACACTTAGAGCAACTTTTCAAATCTAAAGGAAATTATGATGAAGGTTTTGGACACAAACAGCATAAAGACCGATGGAATTGCAAAATTCAGAGCAGCTCAGTGGACTGTATTCCTAATGAAGCACCAAATATGTGTAAAAACAGTATAGAAAACACCCCCACACTTAGGGATCTTAACAAACATTTAGATGCTGAGAACAGCAAAGGGCAAAGGGATGATCTGAGAAAAGTCAGGGAGAGGAGAAAACTAAAAATCATTTGGTCCCCATTCAGGGAGCTGCCTGAGAAAACCTTTCCCCTTGAGGAAGAACTCAAAATGAACAAACTGAAATGGCCACCTGAAATTACAGCCCCTGCATCTGCTGAATTTAAAGATGAACTAAGAGAACACAATAACACTCTGGAAAATAAAGGACAAGAGCAAGATACTTCTCTTCTTGAGACATATCTGCAGCCCATCCGTATGTGTCAGAAAGATGTTACAGGAATCCAAGAAATGGAAGTTATAAAGCAAAGCAAGATGAGAAGGAAGGGAGTAAGAATGTGCCAGATAATCTGAATGAGGCTGAAGAAATAAAGAATAAGAGGAAAAGTGAAATGGATGTTAGCAAGAATAATAATGGAGTTGTTTAGATAGCTGAGGAGAAAAATGAACCAGGTGATGAACTTGACGGTGCAGAAGTTATACGGGTTACTGACACTGATGATGAGGTGGTACCAGAAAATCATAAAGAGAATTTGAATAAGAAGAATAATAATTATGTAGCAGTCTCGGATCTGAATAATGGCAGGCAGAAGACATCTATTTTAGAATTTCCTAATCTATTACCACTGTCAAGTGAAGCAAACTGTGTTGCAAGTGACTATGTGATTGAAAACTTAGAAAGTGTATCCAGGATCTCTGAGTTACTAAATACATTTGAATCTGAAGAGATGTACTCGAGGAATGTACCAGCTATGGCTCTCAAGAAGCAGGCTGGCAGAGCTACTGCTGGCAGTCCTGTGCAGTCTGCCCCCAAGTCAGTCCTCAGTAGCGGCTTAAGAGGAAAGAGGAACAGCTCAATGGCCTCTCCTCCTAACACAAATACCTTAAACATCAAAGAAAACCACTCAAATAACAAGAATCTACACTTCCTCTTTTCTAACACTGTGAAAATTGCTGCTTTTTCCAAGAAGGAGGATGCTGATTTAATAGAGTCTGTAGATCGAATTAAAAACATGCCGTGTTTGTACTTAAGAGAACTTGGGAAGAACATCAAACATTGGCATGGTGAAGCAGGAGCAGCAGGAAACACAAGCTTTGATGCTCTGAGCAGTGAATGTGCAACTAAGCCTTCGTTTCCCAGAGTGGAGGACCAGTTTGAACAACTCACTGCGGAAGAGCAAGTTAAAAGGAATAGGTGCTACGGTGACACAGAGTAAAACATCTCTGGCCACTTGCAGTGGACGTTAGGCTTGGAAACACGCAGGCATGGACTTTAGGGATTTTGATGACCTTTAGTAGAACTTGTAAGCTTAATGTTCAGAAATCTCATGTCTATCACAGTGGGATATTCCTTGTGTTACACCGTATGTTTTTCCCAATTGGTTTGAATCTACTTTTCATCTGAATGGAATGAAAAAAAATGAAACAATATGGCTATGTTTTCTGTCAAGTGGCCCTTACATGTACCGCTCTCTTTTTCAGCATGCCAGACAGCATCATCAGGGGGACTCTACTCTGCTAATGTTTATCATCATTCTTATACCTTCCCTATAATTTCTGCTGAAATAAAATTCAATCACCTGGGATACAAACCAAAACACTTCTGTAACTTTTTTCCATATATATTAACACTCTAAACATATATGCTTTCCATAATTTAGGAAGTATTTGTCATGGAGCAAGTATTTAACACACAAACATGCATGCATAAACAAATGATCCTGGAAAGAAATAAAATACTATACTAAAATTACCGTATTATTAGAAAATATAAAATTTACATTCTTTTTTTGCTCTACATTTTAAAGATATGAGAATTGTTATGATTCTTTAAATAATTACCCATATTAAACTATCATGGTATATGTCTATAAACACTTAATGAAAAATACCAACTTTCCTCCAATATAACATGGAGCCCATACTCAGAAATCAAATGAACTAGAAAGATTTTAGAAGTTACTTAAATAAATTATACACATGGTATTTTTCATTGCTTACCATATGCAACTGATAAGTACACAAATCATACCACTGATTTTTGTCAGGTATTTTTTTCATTGTAGTTGATGGATATTAAATTTTTCTCTTATAAAAGCAGTCTCTGGAAAACATGTCTTCAAATATTCTGCTGATACTGCCTTTCTGAAAATACATTTGACGATTCTGAGAAAAAAACATGAATATAAATTGGTAGCTTCACATTTATTTACAGTGTACATACATGAAAACAGGCCTTATCCCATATTCCCCTACATAAACACAAAATTGACTTAGTCTATTAAGTATGAAACCAAAATACAGTGTTGAAAACTATTTCTCTTTAGAAAGTAAAATAGACTCTCTCTTGCCAGTATGTTCCAACAGATACCTACAGTCTGAATGATTAGTCTGCTCAGGTTGCCAAAACAAAATATCACAGACTGGGTAGAAAAAATAACAGAAACTTATTTTATCGGAGTTCAGGAGGCTGGAGGTCCAACACCGAAGGGTCAAGGTGCAGGCAGGCTCGGTGTCTCCTGGAGCCTCTCACTGTGTCCTCACCAGTCCCTTCCTCTGTGCATGAGCCCTCCTGGTGTCTCTGCCTCTTCGCCTAAGGACACGAGTCCTCATGCATTAGGGTCCTACCCATAGGACCTCATTTAACCTTCACTGCCTCCTTCAAGGTTCTATCTCCAAATGCAGCCAAACTGGGGCATAGGGCTTCAGTATATGAATTTTGTAGGGACAAATTCAGGTCCTAAGCAATTTTACCCAACTTAATTAAATATTGTGAGAGTCTGCCATGAAAATGGCAAGCGGTGGAGGTACTACAATAGCAAATTTTTTATTTAAACTGAATTTTTGCACATTTGCACTTCTTTTCATATATTCTTAATGATGTAGAAATGACATTGTTTCTGCAATCATTTATGCTAAGATAATACAAAAGCTTCCCTAGAGAAAGATGTACTTTATCAACAATCACTACAAACATAGACATAATGTATAGTTTTTTAATGTTCATAGATCTTTTACAAAAGTGACTTGCTTTTCAAAGGTGTCCCCTTTGAATTCTGCCCAATTAATCTTGTAGCCCAGTCTACACTGTTCAATTAGGTTAAAACTTGGGATTAAAATAAGCTAATATACACATCAGGGGAAAACTGGAAAGACATGAATTGTTCTTGTGTTACACTTTCATTTAATCAACAAAGTATTGTTTTAAAATCTTCTTAATCAGAAGCAGTATCATATCAAAATTGTTGGCTGCCCCACCTTCCTTGGACAACATGTAGAAGTTTAAGAAAATCAAATATGCTTAAGAAACCCAAATGCCATTTTATTTAGTAAGGTTATGGGCCCACTCTAATTATAACCAAATCTTCAAGCTAAATAAATAGCAAGCTTTAGGAACTAAAATATAGCTGAATCCACAAATCAAAAATTCATTAAATTTTGATGTTGTTGCAGACAGTGTATTAGTTGCTATGGCTGCCATAACAAAATGCCAAGATCTGAGTGGATTAAAGAAAAGAAATTTATTTTTTCCCAGTTCTGGAAGCTAGGAGTCCAAGGTCAGGTTGGCAAGTGGGTTTCTTCCGAGGCCCCTCCACTTGGCGCGTAGACGGTCTTCCTCCCTCTGTACTTGCTCTCCTTTTATATAGGTCTGGGTCCAAGCTTCTTCTTTTTATAGTGATGCCAGTAATACTATATTCGGGCCCACATCCATGAACTCATTTTACCTTAATTATCTCTTTAAAGACCCTCACTCCAAATGCAGTCACCTTCTGAGACACTGGGGTTTCAGACTTCAACATAGCAATTTCAGGGGGGCACAATCAACCCATAACAGCACTAACCACCTTTCACCTTTAGTTTCTATTTTTCATAAATGCCTATTAATATTACAAAACAACTCCCCAATAATTTTTCACTTGGGACTTATATCACAGAACTATGTCATATACTGATTCATGCTATAAAAATTAATATTTCCAGGAACATAATTCTCTTTCAAGGGAATCAAAATGGGCCTGGTATGGACCAAATGCTTTATCAGAAGAGGCTGTGTGATGGCAGAGCTTGGAGTGTAAGGGAGTTTGCATTATTTATTCAAGACTGGGCCTTCCAAGGAATCTTGTAAAAATGTTCTATTACCCAGAAAATTGTGCCGAACTGTCTTTTGGAGTTTTGCATGCAATCAGTCCTTGTGACAGATTTGGGGCTCTGGACAGCACACTCTTTGGATTGGGACAGTGGTTTTCCCACAAGGCAGTAAAACTGACAACTGCAAACCTCTTACTCGAACCCTAAGGTGCAACCAACATGTGCATCTGGCACATTTCCCCCAAAACTAACAATTTTCTATAAACATCTCTAGAGTAATTTCTAAAGGCACATTAATGTTTTAAAGAACTAGAAGGCAGGAAAAGAATACTTTCTCTGTGGTGTTTTAATAGTTACTAACTACTGATTACTATCCAACTAAGGAGTAGAAAACTCTTCTTCCATTGCCAAGAAAATGAAATTACAGAAAGATAATCACAGATGTTGAAGTGAAAGAGAAGTACGATAGACTTTTTTTCTCTCTGTAAATGTTATTGAGAAACAAAGGTGATTTCCAAATCGAATGTAAAACGTTTCAAATCTGCAGGTATTAACAATAATATGAAATCTTATTTTAGAAAAATGAAATTTACATAGAGATCAGAAATAGGCCATGGACATGATACTCAGATTCAAAATCAGAGCTGTGAGAGCCACAAGAGGTGCTGAGAGGTGCAGCAGCTCAGTCGCCTGGAGATAAACTCTAACAAAAGACAAAAAATATTTTTGGATAAATGTGATCCAATATTTTTGGATAAAAGGTAATTTGATCTCAGTTTAAATGGGGTCCCTTGGAGAGGCTAATGGAAGCTCCCTATCAAGGCCCATTACCTTGGATGCTTTCCCCAAAACATATTATGAGAAATTTTTAAATTTTAGGGATTTGCATGCAAATGAAGTGACAGAGGGAAAATAACAGTAGTGGAATATCTACAGGTCATTATCCTTTAATATATGACCTTTAATATATTAAAGGTTAATATCCTTTAATAAATGTTTGTAGAAAGTAAACCAGTGGGTAGGAAGCCTAATAAATAAACACTGTGATGTCACCCAGTCAGAAGACATTCCATGAACACGATGAAGCCTTTGGTATGTGCTGGCAGAGTGATTTTTTTCTTTAAAGGATAAATCATGGCATCTTCCACACAAGCTCTCAGCCTAGAAAGAGAGGCATTAAGAAAACTAATTACAGTTGGTGTTTATGTCTGTAGAGGGAACTAACCCAGGAAAATGTATAACCACAAAGAGCTCTCTTAAATTGGAAGAGTTCAGAATAATAGTAATACAGGGGGAAATTTTTCAGGTTTGAAAACCAAACTGTGTTGATTTTGCCATTGTCATGACATACTTAGATGTGAGTATGTTGCTGTAGACTCTAGGATGCACAGCCAAGATCCCCCTTCAGGAAGGAAGGATTTACTTCCACTGATGCTGGACACAGAAAGCCCTCACCTTTCAGCCCCTGACCAGGATTGCTTTGGCTGAAGAGAGCCATTTCCCCCAACATATACTGTATTCAATGAACCACTAAGGAAAGGACAGCTCAGCACAGCTCTAAAGGGGCTCACTATATCAGATCTCACTGTAGGGTTGGCTGAGATCTCCCCTGAGCCGACATCATAACTCAGCTTCTCCTTCTGTCCAATCCTGCTTCTTCAACATCTCTTCCCTTCCCTGAATACCAAGAGCACACCCTGATAAGCCTCCTCCATATGAGCCCCTGTCTCAGCATCTACATCTTTGAGAACCCAACCTGGGCAAGCTGATGCAAGGCCCAAGAAAGCAGACATGGGGATGATATTTTTGGACCTGAACTATCTGCTGCCTGGCCGACAGTGGGCACAAGATGGCAGTACAATTGTTAAAATCAGCAGCAGTGATGAACTGAGATGGGTATACAGCTCGGAGCAAATGCCTAGCTTGGCACCATGTATCCAATGCTTGAGACACATAGGAGAAAGAGTTGTTCCTGTGAAAATGGAATTGAGCTCCCTTTGCTAAGCCCTAGACCTGGGAAACAATTTAACAAAAAGCTGACAGTGTAAATCACCAAAGGCTAAATGTAATTTATTTATTTTTCATATTTATATATTTATATAGTGGGGAGTCTACGTAATTACAGCAGGCTTAAGCACACCATGCCCATGCTATAGAAAAATATGAGAAACACCCTTCCCTATAATTAGAGGTTCAAAACGATTAGTCGAGATGAATCTGTTTTGTGGTATCTATTCTGTGGTGACCCCCACGGACTCTGGTGAATGTTTTTCCCTTTTTATTCAAAAGTCCTGTGTGTGGTCTGAATCCTGAACCAGAATACAAGTCATATACCTCACCAGAGCTGGTCAAGAAGAACAAATATAATCCAGAAAAAAAATAAAAAGGAGAAAAAAAGACCAAAAAAAATTTTTTTAAGGGTTTGCAGTTTGCACTGTGCGCTAGCCACAGACTAAAGAAAGATGAAGTTTTTTGCAAAAACAATACATCAGTGGTAATGAGCCTTCTTTTCCAAGATCCAAGCTATGAAGTAAATGTAATGCTGGGTGTTGGGAAGTAAACCACTGAATCTTAAATGGGCATAATGGGTTCAGTGGAGAAGAACACGGTTTGGCCAAATCTATAATCAAGTGAATATGTGAGAACTTTTACTTCTGGTTGCTTGCAATCAGACTTCCAAAGAACTGAACATGGTATGAAGTACAATAAAGATATGCCACATACCAGCACGCTGTCCTTAGGGGCAGCTCTAATATTTAGAAACCACTTTTTTAAATAAGGTCTCCACTCTCTGTAAAAGTGCCTCGTTTCTATGTGTTTTAGTCTTTGCAATGGACTAGATGGAATTCTATTGGGGGAAATCTGAATCTAAGTGCATCATATAATGTTCCCAGGATGGCCCCTTTCTAAAAACCACCAGAGTTTTTAGGTTTTTCTAAAAATCACCAGATGAGCCACTTAGTGCACAACCGCCCAGGTATCTCGTTTCCCAGAAATGCAGGTGTTTCTGTAAGGTGAGGAAGATGCTGAACACCTTCACCCCACGCCACTAAGGAACGGGACAACACGGGTGTATATTCCAGGTCTGTCCATCTGCTACGGGAGCCACTACCCCACATGCATCAACTGAATGCTTGAAATGTACTGAGGAACTGAAATTTTAATGGTCTGTAAATTTAAATTTAAAAACCAATACTAGCAACTATTGAAGAACTTGATTAAATGTTGAAATGATCATATTTGGGATGTACAGCAGACCCTTGACCAACACAGGTTTTAATTGTGGTTCATAAAAATCCTTTATGCTTAGATTTGTTTCAATGAGAATATTATATGAAAATGCTGTATTACATGAAAAGGCTGTCATGCATCCTCTCTTCCTTATTATTTTCTTAGTAAAATTTTCTTTTTCCCTATAGCTTCCTTTATGATAAGAATACAGTATACAATACATATAACATACAAAATATGTGTTCATACACTTTATGTTATCAGTAAGGTTTCTGGTCAAAAGTAGGCTCTGAGCAGTTAAGTTTTGGGGGAATCAAAGTTATATATCTTGATTTTCGACTGTGTATGGGGTCAATGGGGGTCACTGCCCCTATGTTCACTGTTCAAGTGTCAACTGTTCTGAATTAAATAGACTATATCATGAAATGACATGCACCTGTTCCACTTTTTAAAACACGGCTACTTGAACATTTTAAGTAACACATGAGGTTGGTATTGCATTTCATTTGGACACCCCTGTTCTAGATCAAGATTAATTTCAGGAACGTAAATTACTAAAAAGGTCCAGAGGAAGAAAATGTTCATCTCTGTTCCTCTTAATGGAATATTTTATGACTGCATGTTATTATCAACAGCTGGGATGTATCCAAAGTAATACAGTCTGGTCTCCAGCTCTGAGTGGTGAGGTCTCTGTCTCTCTTTTTTAAACCCCTTTAGGTTTCTATTTTTGAAGTTTTGTGAGCTTCATTCTGACCAGCTTGCAAACAAAATCATTTGCCCTGTAACCAAATATGCAGCCGAGATGTGGAAACCCCCTCCTCGATGTCCATTGACAGATGACTGGATAAAGATGTGGTCTGTAAATGCAGGGGAATATTATTTGGCTGTGAAAAGGGGAATCGTGCTGTCTGTGAAAACATGGATGGACCTTGGTTGGGGGCGTTATGCTGAGTGAGATCAGCTGGACGGGGAGGGGGAACTGTGGGTGCAGGAAAGGGAAAAAGATGGTCATTTAGCTGTCTATCAGTTTCTTGGAGAACCCAAAGTTGGTGAGCTTGATGTGACCGTCCCTGTCCAGCAATATGTTTTCAGGATTCAGGTCCCGGTACACGATCTCCCTGGAGTGCAGCTACTCGATGGCACACATGATCTCCGCCGAGTAGAAGAGTCCGGTGCTACTGGAGAAGTGGCCCCGGTTATGCAGGTAACTGAACAGCTCGGTGCCTGGCACGAACTCCATCAGCATGTACAGGAAGTGTTCGTCGTGCCACGTCCAGAACACCTTGACCAGGAACGGGTGGCTGACTTACTTCAGCACCGACTTCTCGTTGTGCACATGCTGCTCCTGCTTCAGGCGGATGACATCCGGAATGCTCATCACCTTGAGGGCGAAGAAATGCTTGGCTGTCTTCTCCTTGACAAGCTGCACCCGCCCGAATGTCCCTGTGCCCACGGTGGCCAGCGTGTCGAAGTCCTGCAGGCAGTAGGCGGGCGGCTGGGGCGCGCCGTCGGGTGCCTCGGCGCGGCTCTCCGGGGACTCGGGGCCCGCCGCGGCCGGCCAGGGCGCCTCCCTGGGGATGCGCTCAGGTCCGGGGCGCGAGGGGCGCCGGGCTTCCCGGGACGCAGCCTGGGCGGGCGGCGCGGGGGCGGCGGCCTCAGCGGCGCCCGGCCATGTGCGTCCTCCGCGGCCCGGCGGCGCGCTGGGGACAATGACTGGGCGCCGGCGCGGCGCTCACTGCAGGAGGAGCAGGAGCAGCTGGTGGGAGTAGCCGGCGGTTTCCTTTAGGAGGACAGACTGGTTAAAGGATATTTCTGTTGAACATAACTTTACTGTATTGTATTTATTTGCCTGTATAGAAATTTCCTTAAACAAATCATTTTAAAAGCGAATTCCAAAACAATTTATTATTTCCTGGACTCTAAACTAAAATATTTATTGTTCAATAACAGTTTCAATGATTTTGTAGCTGAGATGATATATATGACACAATTAATGTTGGCAATATCTAAGAGTATATAATGAAAAAAATCATTAACTGCAGTGCCCTAGCTCATTAACTGATCTCTTTTAAGTCTGAACTCCTATATTTCACACGGTGTTTGCTTGTGTGAATGTAAGTATATGATTATGTGTTTAATAGTTAATGCCCAAATTATGAAATATCAATATCAGCAGTTTTCAGTGCTGTTTAGGCTGTTACAAGCCAACACATTAAATCATAATGCTCAAAATCACTGATTCTGAATACATATTTGTCATGTTAAGAACAGATATTTATTATCAAATGGATTACATTTATGTTACCAATTATAATACTCAGATTCTGCATTTTACTCCTCTCAATTTCATTAATACGTACATTTGTTGTCATTTATGTAGTTTTAGTGCTTATAAGCAAATGCACATCTATTAACATAATTTGTTATAACTATATTACAGTTACTCATAACGTTTTACTAATTTCTTTTATTTCCTCATCTCTACTATTCTTAGCAATTTTATCCATGCTCGAGGCTTCAATTATCTCCTTAAAACCAATGACCCCCAAATTTATGTCACCTTCCCGAGCTCTCCTTTGAATTTTAGAATCATAGAACAACTGCCCACCTGAGAGTCTCTTGGGTGTCTCGATGGCCCCTTAAATCCAGTATGTCTGTGTCAGAGCATCACCCACTCCTCGCCTCCAATCCCCAACTTGTTCCTCTTCCAGCGTTCCTACCTCAGGTATCAGTATCCAGTAGCTAAAACCAGATAACAAGGAGACACTATTTTATGCTCTTATTTCTTTCACCCATTCCCAGTTAAAACCTCTCACCAGATCCAGTTGATTAATATTACTTAAATGAAAGTAGTACCTTTAAGATAGGCACATTCGCATCTTTTCTTCCTAACAAACATTTGTAATTTTACATGTTTTGTAAGTTATTTGATGTGGTACTCCACTCCACCCCACCCCCATACTAACTAGAGGCATTACAAAGAAAGGAACTGGGTTGGATTTTACTCTCCAGATTTCCGTAATTACCAGGAAATTAGGACATTGTAACCCAAAGACGTGAAAAGGAGTTATTGGTTGAAGTCCCACTCCCTTTCCTCCATCCAGGTAGCATCTGTGAAAGTGTTGTGATTTGGATATCATGCATTTAATTTTTGCTCTTAAGCTTTATTTTTATGCTTTTGCATTTATTATTGTATATCATTATGCTGCATATTATATGTATGCATATTTCACCAATGCATATATGTATATTTAAGTGTACATATCTCATGCATATGTTTGCATGTATTTGTACATGCACACTAATATTCTAAAAACAAATGAAACATCCATTGCTTAATCAAGGTCCTGTTCATGAGTTGGTTGAGAAATAGGATGTATTACTTTTCACATATACATCCTCACAATTTCAATATATTTAGAAATTTAGCGTGTTGGTCATTTTTAATGAACTTTAATTACCTGTGGAGTCCATTTGTTTGGGAAGATTTTTAACAAGAACTGACAAAAAAAGATCTGTATCAACCATTATTTCACCAGAAATTACAGATGGGCAGGGAACCAAGTGCTGTTAATTAGAAAATGGACATGCATGTCCGTACAAAATTAATACAAACTAGTAGCCAGTAGCACTCATCTTTTGCTGTGTTCCAAGCTCACAGCAAGGGCAAATGCTGTGGTCCTTGATCTCATTTAATTCTCAGTGGGGGACACAGTTAAATACAAGCAAAATAAAATACATTGTCATCTATCTTTCTCGTACATATTAACATTAATTCCAATACAGCACATTTCTAAAGTGCCTGAAGTATAATAGAGACGTATCATGTTGGGAATCTATCTTACCGTATGTAACCATTGTTTGTGATATCTTTGTTATAATATTTATAATTCATGTCTCAATGGATAAGTGCTTGATAATAATGAGAATTTCTTCTCTAAGAATGAAGTACTCAAATATTATATAGGTCTAACTCACTGTTGAATATAATGAAGAAAGAAAAACTGAATGCAGTGTATACACATAAAAGCTCAATCAAAGCACTGAAGCATACAAAAATAGAAGTCATTATTATTACAAGTTTTAAAATGAAATTAAAAACAATGAGTTTTTTCTTTGGAGACATTCATGTAAACTGTTAAGAAGTCACATCTTTTGGGAGAGAAAAATCATGTAGAGAGGAATTGAGTTATAAGCATTTTAGAATGGACTGTAAGTCTGGGACATAAAGATCTAGACTATAAGATTTCTAATATTCTAGTTTACATAAGCTAGATTTAAAGAAAATTCTGAAATGTGAAAACAGATTTTCACTTTTTTATTGAGTGCTAATGAGGAAATTAGGATTTTCTACCACTTTAAAAAAATGTACTTCCACTTTCTCTAATCACACTTGAAAGTCCTTTCTGCTAGCAGGTAAAGGCAAATGGGCATGCCTGAATCTACTTGCAACGTAACTTATACTCTATGATACTAAGCTCATAAACACATGCTTTTAACTCCCTCTTTTTTTAAAAGCCTCAAAATTCTTGACATAGCAAGGACATAAAATATTTTGTTGGGTATTTTTATTTAAGGCCATCAACACTGGGATGTGCAAGTCTATTATATTTTTCCCCATGAATGTAAAATTATTCCATAGCACTCACAGGGCCTCTGGGTAGTTAACATAAATAAAACGAGCAGCAATGGCTTGCATGCTTCCCTTGCCAACTAAACAATACAGCCCATCTACCCTTAGCATCAACAGGTCAACAGCAAACAAAGTACTAAAATCTGTTCGTGACTTGTTGTTACAGACATTCAGACAATTCAGAAGTGGATTTTAAAACATCAATCCTGTTATGAAATAACATTTAGTAGTGGGGATCTGACTTATCCCGTGCAGCCATGTTTTGCAATGTCCTGGTTACATGTATAATTAATGTCGCATTTGAAAGTACTTGATAATAATTAAAATTGTTTCTCTGTTAAATAGACACCAAAAGTTACTAAAGTATGCATGCAACCAACCTCCATAGTAATAGGACAGTAAAATAAAAAAAAAGATTGCTAAGGAAACATTATAGATTTATCTTACACTTATAGGTACAGAAACTAATGCAGGCTTTCAGAGCACAGAATTATTTTTTTAAGAAAGAAAAAAGCTTTACAAACTTGACTTCCAGAAAGCAATTATGCTGCATGGCAGCATAAAGCCCTATTGATCGAAATTTCTCTTTCCATGTGAACTTCACAGGCTTGCATGACTTAGCATTAGTAACAGCTAATGATGATTAACACTGTTAGCTTCAGTGGCCCCAGTCCCTTGGAACTTAGCTTTGACCTTTTATTAGCACTTCTCTTCCAAGCAGGTAGGATCATTCTACAGGCACAGTTCCTAATCACCTGAAAACACCTAGAGAATTAGTTAAAAGTCTGACTGGTTAGGGGCTGGGATGCTAAGGGAAAATGCAGATTCAGTCTAGTGAAAGAAAGTACCCATGGTGTGATCTGTAGTGCAATCCTGAAAAACTAACTAAAATAAAATAAAATTATGTTATGATTTCATTTATGTAAACTTAAAACGGTCACAACTACAAGCAAGTTAAATCTTATCAGTTGGTGTGAACTTTTAGCAGCAGCTCTCTGCCTGCAAACCAAAATCCCTATGCAACATTTGCACATCCCCATTTTCTTGATGAAACATTTACTGAGCTCCTAACACTATGCTAAGCACTTAAATACCATTCTTTTGTGATAATGTGGAAGTCATTAATGTTTTAAATTTTATTAGTGTTTTCTGCTTCAAGTGACTTCTGAAAGAAGTACTGATTAGTGAAGCCATGGAGAACTGCTACCCAAATAACTTGAAAACTCTGTTCCTTCTCTCCTTCCTGACTCTTCTGACCTCCCACTTCTCCCTCACACCTCCCCCCCCACCCCCACAGTACACACACCTGCATATGCCTCCTCTCCTGTTTTCTTCCTCATGCTGGACCAATGAAAATATTTAGCTGCTCCTTAGTGATTACAGCTAAAGAAAAATGAAAAGAAACTCATTATTAGAAGAGGTTGGATACTCTTATTCAAGCAAAGAATGTAATTCTAAATTATAAAAATTGAAAATGGAATGTTTAGGGTAAAGAAATATCTTTTCTTCAATTTTGGTAATGGTTTGATTTCTATAACATACACACTCATTGAAGACTGCTTCTCTTTGCAAATAATAATGTTTTAGTAATAACAATAAAGACTGTCAATAATTTAAGACTTCATGAGCCATTATGTTGATTAAAGTTCCTCATACAGCGGTCTGCATAAATCATGACTCCACCTCTATTTTAGAATACTGAACTGAACATAGACTCCTTCCTGATATAATAGAAACATACCCACTTGAACTAGTCCTTTCCCCGTTCTGTAAGGGTCCAATGTTTTCACCCTAATAACGTTACCATAACTGTCCTTTCAAAAGAAACCAAAACATCTCACTTAATTCATTATGTCTTGCCAATACTTATAGTCAAGTTGATATAATTCAACTTCCACTCCTTTGTTTTTCCTTGGACTCCACAATACCAAATTACTTTTTGCCTTCCTACATTTCAGATTTAAGTTTGCTTCCCTTGGAAACAGACAAACACCCCCACGAATCAGCCTTACTTTCTCTTAATTATAAGTGGTCTCCTAGGCTTGTTGTTCTGCCTACCCTTTGTTCTTGGATATCTTTTACATTTTCTTAGTTTCAGTGATACCCTCTCTACTGATAATTTCCACATCTCAGGAGAAGAGTATGATGTGGTGGAAAAAGTGCAGTAAGGTTAGGCGTTTTAGTATTTGATTAGTTTGGGGTCGGATTTCCTGTGAAATCGTGATGAGTGACTTTATTCCATTTACGTGTGTGTGTGTGTGTGTGTGAAAAAGACAGAACAAGAGAACACAGATCTTGTAAAAAGTATGTTTCTAAAAAAATACTGGTTATGATGAATGAATAGAATGCTATTCCATTCTGGTGGTTTTCATGTCTTAATTTTGCCTTAATATTTTAATATAAAGACTTACTTAGTAATCTTTAACATAAACATGGATGATACCTGTTGTTATAGGTGTTATAGAGTTTTAAATATGAAAACAGAGGGTTTATATGTTTTGAAGTATCTAATTATATTATTTGGGGAAATAGTTTTTCAGGCACACTGACACCCAATATTAAACAAAATGGGTTGTCCTTAATTTAAATTAAGGTGTCAGCCTTTAAATTTGCGTATTTCAACCATTTTGGAAATTGCATAGTGAAGGAACCATGGGTACAACATTCTTGCTAGACATCAACAGATTAAGTATACCTGATAGTTAACTTCTCGTAAAATTGGTAAAAGAACCTCTTTGGGACTTAATATGTTCATCTGTAGAACTAGGTATTATATATTCATAATGAACAGTGCCATTGTGAGAATTAAAACTAAGTCAGATTCAAAAGAGGGCAATATTTATTGAATTGCAGTGCAGTACCTTTTTGGAAAGACTTTTCTGCAAAGAGCCCATTCTGGCTTGCAGTTCCAATCATAAATTAATCCTCACATATGCGAAAGGCAGCTATAGGTTTGATTTTGTTTTTAATCTCTATTTTACAGATAAGGAATGCTGGAAAAGTTTAAGTGACTGACCTGTGATTCCTCACCCAGTCATAAGCAGAGCTGGACCTGGACTCATTTATTTCGTTTTAATTCAGATTCCTGCCTGCTGGATGTAGCTTTTGCCAGAAGTGACTCCAATCAAATATTCAGTTTCTATCTTGATAAATATAGATTTTTTGCATCAATAATATAAAATTGTTTTACATATTTTCAAGATTTGGGCAGAAGTTACTGATTTAAATAATGCCTAACCATATTTCTTCCTCCACTACCAAGTTGAGTGAGTTTCGCCATTGCAAGGGGAGAAACATAGACATATTTAAGTGAGAAAAAAAAGTGGGGAGGGGAAGAAAGAAGGAAACATCGATAGTTATTTAAGTATAATTAGCTCATTAAGTACTCATGTAATTAAGTAACACAAGGCTTTCTGCCCAGTACATCCTGTGAAATTCATAGCAATGCAGAAAGCCTGGTGTGAGTATGCCATCTTTTCAACTTCTTTAAATTTTTTTCTTAATTTTCCATCTTCACTGATTTTTGTATTTCAGTTTTCATTGTTAGGAGATTGTTTATTGTGCAAGTTTATTTTGATCGGAGCTGCTTATGCAAAGAATGGTGAGATACTACTATTGTTATATCTGCATGCATTCTATTGATTTTCTTTAACTTTTTGCTTCTGTAAGATAGTCATTTGGTTATCTTACTACGGAATATGGTATGTAGGAGCCAAATTTTTTCAGGATTAACTGTTGCAAAATGTCAGATAAGAAGAAAATATTACAAGATATTTGGCAGGGCATGGAAGAGTGGTGGGAAAAGTTATGTAATTGTGCATGCACATGCACATCTCTGGGAGTTTCTAAATAGCTTTTAATATTCTAAACTTTAGTATTTTCATATTTTACATGCTTTCTTTAGTCAACTTGGTCTTTTGATTGAAGATCATCCTAAACATCTTTTATCAGAGGTATTTCTAAATTGTTGCATTTAAATTTTCCAATTTTAAGATTTAAGTTTTAACATTTCTACTTCTTGCATGTATCAGCTCCCTTTTCCCCCAGGAAGTGAGTAAAACTTTAATTTTTTTCTTCCTCTCCCAGACTTGAATTCCATTTCTCTAATGATCACCTCATGTAGTTAATGAAGATGTTGATTTTAAGTTACACAATAACAACAAATAAACAATTAACAATTTAAAAAACCTAAACAATAACAAAAACTTCTCTAGATTAAAAATTCAAAATGATGTGGTACAAATCTTTTTTAGCCTAAAAAATAAACTTCCCATTATCTGTTTTAGCACACTTGGATCCTTAAAAAGAAATTGTCCGCCTCACAAACTAGATTGGCCAAATGACTGAAGGGGGGCTGTGGGCACAAGAAAATCGGGAAGCATGATCCTGAGATGCATACATTTTCTATAGTACTAAAACATGGCAATACACAAGTCTCATCTGCAAATTTTCTTTATGGTGTTCATATAATTTAAGCAGTGTTTATTGTGGGTATCACAGGATACATGGAGTTGTCTTAAAGGGAAAGTAAATGAAGAAAGGAGTGATTACTGAAAACAGAAAAGGATCACTTAAAATATAATGAGAAACAGCAGCAGCCTAGCTAACACCTACTACATTCCAGCTTTTGTCAACTATGTAGGTGATTTATACATTTCATTTTTTACCTTCACAACCTTGTAAGATAGGTCACTTGGGGAAAGACCCACACCCATTAAACTCTTTGTGTACAACTTAGTTTACATTTTTCCTGCCACGGGGGATTACAGACTTAACTAAAACTCTGGAACATTCAGACTTATTTGTGCTGAAGGGACTTAAAATGCTCCACAGGGAGAGATCAAGTTTTGGGGACGGTGGAATGGGAAAAGTTTGCCACTTTCATTTTCTTTTTCTTTCCTCGAGAAATAATATCACTTCTCTGGAGTTTGGGTCACCCCCACACACTCACACCCCGAAGTGATTCTCCAAGGGAAAACCAACTAGGTGTCTGCTTAAGTTGCCTCTCCACTGCTTCTTGAGGTATTTTGTTTTGTTGACGGGGAGGCGAGTGCGTTTACTTGGAAGGCAGGCAAGGAAGGTCCACTCTAACTACAACTTTGAGAACGTGTCCCCGTGTGCCTCCTCCACAGCTCGGCACCCTTCTGGGCTCAGGGCTCCGGTTCGGAGGCGCAGGAGCACCAACCTTCGGATACCAAGGCTGCCAATGGGAGGAGGACGGGGGCGCTGTCTGGTGACTGTTGGTGGATCCTTCCAGGCGGCGACCACCTCCGGGGGTTCGCTGTCTCCCGCGCCCGTGTGCTCGGTCCCACGGGCCTGCCCCGGGATGCCCAGGCGGTGACCCGCCGCGCCGCTGCGGACACGCACCCCGGGGCGCCCCTCTCCTCCCCGCCGCGGTCGGAGAGCGCCCCAGGCCCGCCGGTTCGCGGTCTGGCCGCCCCCGGGGCGCCCCCGGCGGGAGCCCCGCGTCCCTCCGGGCCCCCCCATCCCACGCCCAGCACCCGGCCGCCCTCCCGGTAGCCAGGCTGCGGAGCCCGGGCGGAGGAGCACCTTGGGCCTTCCGCTCTGATTGGTCTCCCCCGCCGCGCGGGGCGAGCCGGCGATTGGCTGCCGGGCGTTGTTAATCGTCGAGGCCTGAGCTTCCGCCAGGAAAGCGCCGCCGGCTCGGGTCTCCGGCTGCCACCGCGGTTGCTCAGCGGACGCAGCTGCGAGCTCGTGCTGCCGCCGCCGCCCACGCTGCTGCCCAGCCGCAGGCGCCGCCGAGATGGCGGCGGGAGAGCCGCGCGGGCGGACGCGAGGCGGTGATGCTGGCGCGGGGCAGCGGCAGAAGCGGCGGAGCGGCGGCATCTCCGGGAGCCCGGCTGCGGCGGCCCCGTGGCCCGCGGGCCGGCGAGCGGCGGGGAGCACGCGCCCCGCAGGTAAGCCCCGGCTCGGGACCGCCGGCGTCTCGGGAGAGGGGTGGCGTCGGCGCGCCCGGGGCGTCCTGAAGGGGTGGGGGGGTCCCTGCTCGCGCGGTGTGCCCTCGGCGCGGACCGGCGGGCGGGCGCGGGGGCGGCATTGTGTGTGCCTGCGTGGGGGGCGCGGCGGGTCCCCTCAGACGGGAACCGACGGCCCCGGGGCTCTCGGCTGGGAGGGAGGGAGGAGGGCGCCCGCGGCCCGGGGGCGGCGGAGCGCACGGAAGGCACGGCAAGTCCGCCGTGGCTCCCGAAGCGCCGGGCAGGCGGAACTTCATTGCCGTGATTACAGAGAGCTGGGAGTCCAGCGCGCCGGGGGAGAGGCGCGTCCACCTGGACTCCGCCAGGTCCCGCTTCGCGCCGGGGACTTCCGAGGGGAGCGGGAC